TGAAGGATTTACGGGTCTGCCGGGCTCATCGCGGGTCGTCCGCCTCTGACATCGATCCGAGATGATCTGAGATGGCCAGACAAAGACGTCGGCGGGTGATCAACTGCGGCCGAGGTTTCCGGGGGGGAAGGGGGTTTCTCGTCTTCGCGGGCGCCATAAGCCGGGAAGCGTCTGGGCATTTGAGGGAACGGAGTGTCGCGTAGTGCGAGTAATACGACAAAAGGCAGCTCCGAGGGATTGCGAGTTGCGAGATCCCGCGCATCCCGTTGGAACAGCGAGAGGACACAGGACACAGGACCACGGACGGAGGCGTGGTGTACGTGGACATGGGTGTTGGGATTTACTATGTAGAGGCGACTTGAGTAAGAAGAACACGTTGGATGGAGTAAGGTGTGGGCTCCATGAAGTCAGTACGAAGCGCAAATGGGCGCTGGCATAGGAGAAACGAGTGGATGAGGACGGTGTGGTGGTCGTCTCCATACAGGCAACCCCAGTTGGCAATGTTCTTAGCAGGCGAGTAGTATGCTCGAATGAGGTGGCTTGACGCCCTCCGACTGGACCTGTAAGAGTTTCCTTGGTCGACGTCGATTTACACGTGAAGAGACGAAAGGGAGGAAAGATGGATGGCGCAGATGGTCAAGACATGGAAGACAAGCGCGACGACCATCTCCCGCATGTCTCTATCCACTCGCTGCCTCGACGATTAATGTCTCGCATGCCCTGGAGACGACCCTGGAGATGCCAGACAAGAGAAGGAGAGAGTGAGTCTGGGGTGCGTGTAGGCAGCCTGGTCGCCTCAACTGTGCTAGGAGCAAAAGGTTTGGAGAGCCTCAGGGTGGCATCCAACTCGCCTCCAATGTGGTGATCGGACGATTGAAGCTCGGCAGGCGAACAAACCCTACTGCACTGGCTACCGCGTAGGTAGCAAGAGGAAAGACGAAGTGTTCTCTGACATCAAGCTGTCGCATCGTGTGGCCGGAAGCGGAGAGACAGTGTGCATCCGCGCTCGACCCTGGGGCCCGAATCATCCGTCGGTGCGCACCGGGCTGTCTCTGTCGAGTGTCCGGGCTCGTTCGGTTGAAGGTCTGTCGGTCTGTCTATCTGCTAAACATTCGTTGGTCACGCACGTCGCGCAGCAAAGGTTGTTGTTGTTGGTGGTGGAGTGCAAATTCATAGGCTTGCTGACCGGGATGCCGAAGCGGGAAACGGACGGGGCGGGCTCCCGCTCGGTGAGTGTAGACGGTGACCTTGGAGTTGTTTCCGCAAGTGCCAAAGTAAATTTGGCGTGCTGGCTGCCAATGACATCACCCGTGGTCGAGCGGGCCGGGGGGGTGTTCCTGTCGTTCCGTTTGGGAGACAGAGAGAGCGAGGAGAGAAGCCCAGGGCAGGGCAGGACAGGACACTGAGGAGTGAGGACAGACAGGCAACCTGACCTGACCTGCGTTAGCTGCCAATCTAGCGGCAACTGCCCGTCGGCGTTGAAACGCGACCCTCTGCCATGTCCATCCATACCTTCCTTACCTTAGGTACCTACCTAGGTAGGCACAGTGTAAGGTACTGACCTGGCTGGGCATCCGCCGTTACGTAAGCTTTTGTTTCCAAGCTCCGAGCGCGGTCTTGACAGGACTGACCACTGACGTCCTTCAGCCAGTCACAAGCTAAGTATGGGGCTCTCCTTCTCGGACACGTACCTGAGGTACCTAAGGTAGGTACCGTGAGGAACCCGAGCTCGTTCCAGTGCCAGTGGCCCCCCCCCCCCGGAGCCATACCAAAATCTTTTTGTTGCGCCAGGCCGATCCCGAACCAACCCATTCCAGTTTGCCTGTCTTGTCTTTTCTCCTCCTCCTCTAACCACTTCATCATCACCATCACCACTCCACGACAAACCACCAACGCGCATCCATCTCGTCAACGGAGCTGCTCCATCAGCCCTCAATTGTCCTTTCTCCTCCATCTTGCCCATCATTCGAGAGCCTCACTTCCTCTTCTCCTAGCCTTTGAAGTCGTTTCCTCTCTCTACGTAACCAGTCAACACAGCTCATCATGTCGCGCGGTGGAACCACCCTCTACGTGACTGGCTTCAGCCACGGCACGCGCGCCCGAGACCTCGCCTACGAATTCGAACGGTATGTCAACTGAACTCAGAAACTCCCACGTCGATGCCTCCGTCCGTCCTGTTTTGCCCGGCACGCGAGAGCCTTCCGAGATTTCCGATTCTTCATCTCCTTCCCTCGCCCCTCCCGCCCATCGTCCTCGTGTCCTCGTCCTCCCGTCCTCCTCCGCTGCTCCTGCCTCAGCATATCAATACTATATGCCTCCCTCGCCCTCCGTCCCCGTCGATGCGTCGTCAAGTCCTCGTTCGCTCGCCTCGGCCCGCGCGACCAACCCGCCGCCTGTTGTCCGCGCCGCCCTGGTCCGCCGGCCTTCCGTCCCAGCGAGAACAGACTCACGAGGCTACCTGCCTGGCTCTGCCAAGCCCGCCCGGCGCCCGACTCTTTGTCTCGTTGAACAAACAAAAAGATCAAAATCGAGAAAACAAATATTTGAAAAAACAAAAACAAGATCCCGAGTATGTATGGAGATGCTGACGTTCTGGCTCCCCTGTAGCTATGGTCATCTAGTCCGCTGTGACATCCCAGCTCCTCGTTCGGCTTCTTCTAGACTGTAAGTTGTCACTGTTTCCCCCCTCTGACCATGTTTCCGCCGAATGCCTGCGTACTAAATCTTGCTCAGATTTGCCTTCGTCGAGTATGAGGACCGTCGCGACGCTGACGATGCTTACCATGAGATGCACAACAAGCGCATCGGCCGCGACGACATCCTGAAGATCGAGGTATGATGACGCGACAACCGGTCGACACGTCCGATCCTGACATGTTCGCAGTGGGCTCGCACTCCTCCTTCTGCCTCCTGGCGCTTCGACTCTGGCCGGGACCGCGAGCGTGCCCCCCGCCGCTCTTCTCCCCGCCGGGGCCGCTCTCCCTCTCCCCGTCGCAGCACCCGCGACTACTCCCCCAGAAAGGACGATCGTCGTGACCGCGACCGTGACTACGACCGCGAACGCCGCGACACTCGTGACCGCTCTCGCAGTCCTGACCGCCGGTTCGTACCCCCGGGATGCCAGACCCACCCGATGGAGATGTTGACAGCTGTGTATTAGTGACCGGGATACCAAGGACGATCGTGATGAGCGCGACCACCGTGAGAACGGTACCAACGGCGACGACCGAAAGGGTACGTGTATTCAATCGTAGGAGACAGCCATGGAGTCCGCAAGCTGACGAGAACGCACTACAGCCATTGACAGCCCTCCCCCTGCTCACGACGACCTGGATGTCGCTGCGGAGTGATAAGTATACTTGGCAAAATCTTGTCGGGTTGTGCGCGGCTGTGCCAAAAGTTTTCTGATTTTCTTACCCGGTTCTCCCCTCACCTGTTGAACCTGGATCTGTAAAGTGTCCTCACCATCTGGGAGCTTTTTAGTCTCGATTCGACCGATTCGGCTTCGGACCCGGAATGCGAGGGCTGAGCTGCCCGACGTAGGCAGCATTCAAACTTTGTTAGTCATATCGGAGTGATAATGGGCGGAACCTCCGTCTCGGCGATGAGCTTCAGACGACGAAGGTTGCGGCGGCGGCCATTTGATAGCATTTCCCAATTCGTAGTTTTAGAGAAATTGAATGTAGGTCTTTACAGAATTATATGGGTTTAGATGTCTGTTTATCATTTGTGAGTCCCTTTGTTCCGCGGTGCTACTTGAGAGATGTCTGTCGTGGTCTTGAAGAGAAGATGTTACCAGTGGGCTTGGCCTCGGGTGATTAAGGTCCGTTGTGGCATTTGGGTGATGTTTTCATGCGGGCAAACACCTACCTTCCGTGGGGGTCATTTCAAGGGATGCCGATCACGCGTGGGCTTGGCGAAGCTGGGCCGGTGGCCATTCTGTCTTGGACGTGTAGATTTCGGTGCGGGGAAGACGGCAGGCAAGGCGGGGTGTCAGTGTTGAGAATGGTACATGCGCGGTTGTCGATGCTGGGAGTGTTGATAGGGAGGATCCGGAGGCTCGGAAAGAAGAGAGAGGTGAAGTTTCGGCAAGTTGGCCCCGATGTAACCCGGACGAAGCCGACATTCGGTGGGAGAAGGCCCGGACCTCATTGTCGGGACTGGATGAGATGATGCGGCAACACAAACCGAGTCCAATTACTATGTAGTCTATTTGGCGTCTGCAGACCGGTCCTGGCTGGCTGGCTGGCTGGCTGGGTGCTGTGTGGCTTAGGTAGTAGCATCAGTTGGCTATCGCAGAGTCGTCAAGTCCATAAACGCCCATCTGGGAACTCTGGGCATTGCCTCCTCCGCCTGGTCGGGGCTGGCAGACCGTTAAGCCCCATGACCCAGGTCTTTCTTTCTCCTTTCCTGTCATCTGCCGGAATCACTGCATCTGTTTCTTACCTGATTTGGCACGTGAGGCACATGAGCATGACTTGAGATTTTGAAATGTCACGAATTGCAGCGGGCGTCCGTGGCTGTGAGGAGCCCCATTTCCCCCCGGCTTGTCGTCATTTGTGTGGAGAGAGTGTCGGAGGCCACTCCAGTGACTCCACTGGCGACTGGCAACAGAAGCATCGCAACCTACCTAGGCCGCACCCGGAATGATCTCGTGTGCGAGCAAATCCACACCAAAGGGCGGCCTTTTTCGAGCCAAGGACACTGGGTTCTAGGGGTGCAACGTCTCTGGCTTTCCACTACCCGACAGCTGTCTGGGTGTACAGGAACTTCCCCGGCCCAGGCAGCTTGGAGGGGTTTAGGTGATGCTGGGCATGTAAGTAGCTCTGGGGAAGAGGTAGGTAGGTAAGGTACCTTAGGTGAGGTACCTTACCTGGACGGACACCTTCCGACGGGGGGCTTCCTCCCAAAGCTGAGAAGCTCAGTGTCCAGTGTCCCGTCACTGTCATTGAGGTGCCCGCCGCCACCCGCCCGACCCTCTAACTGCCAGGTGCCAGGCTATGACACTGGCGACGGGATTGACCTACTTGTTGCTGGAAGCTGAAATTGGATCTGGCCCGGATCTTGATCTGCGCCTGCGCCTACTGCGTCTCTGCGTCCGCGTCCGCATTTCCTTTCGCGAACTTGACTTGGGACCTTTGCCGCCCCTCATTGAACACTGTAGCAACATTCAAAGGTCTCTACGCACGAAGATCACGACATCTCAACCGCTCCGTTGCATCTCGCGCACCTCTGACAGTCTCTCATCTCGTCGCCGTCCCTGCCTTGTCGACTGCGCCGCCATCTGCCCGACTTCTTCCTCAACGTTTCCCTCTGCAAGGTTCGACCTGTCCTTCTCGTATTCGACTCCCACCACGCGCCCCTCGCTCTACACGATCCGCCTCGTCACCCCGACTCGACCTGCAATTCCTCGAGCACTCGTTGACGATTGATAGCAGTGCACCGACCGACCCGTCTGTTACCCGTGCCTTTCCGTCATCATCATTGTCGGACCCATCCACGCCATAGCCGCGGCACATGGGAGATTGCCTTTCCCGACGACCAACTTCGGCCCAAAAAACCGCGATACCCTCGAAAACCACCCACGCTTCCGCCCCCTCGCCCCGACGACGAAGCTGCCTTTAATGGTCGAAACCAGAATTTCAATCCCAGATACCCCATTTACTATGCCTCCGTTGCCGTTGTCGAGCTCTCTCTAAATTTCTCGTTATCCCTTCTCCATTTTTTTTGGGTCATTCTTTGAAAGCATCCTTCCATCTGTGTTCAGCCACTGCTCCAGAGTCGCAGAGTTTCTTGATACGACTCTCGAAAGAACAACCCCAAGAGCTTTAAATGCAAGCAACGTCATAGTACAAAGGCGGCTTCAGAGGTTCAGCAGTGTGGTTGCTCTGAACCAACAGTCTTGCGCATGCAAATAGAGAGAAAAAAGCACACCCGCACTGCTTGTTGACCACCGGTAGTCTGAAGTTATGTCGCCCGTAAGTCTTCTCTGTTCTGCACCTAAATCTCATGCCGCTCTGTATTCAGCCGGCTGGGGGCGTGGGAAGCATCGAAACTGACGCGAGTATGCCATCAGTCCCCAAGCAATACCGCTGTGCCTGCCGCAGCGGAACCAGCTGCCCTTGCTGGTATGGTCCGAGTCCGCGAAACGTTTTCGCAACCCGTTGTGGCTGCCTTCTGCGCTGGAGGCGTCGCTGGTGCCGTTTCTCGGACTGTCGTGTCGCCCCTCGAACGTCTCAAAATCTTGTTCCAAGTCCAGAGTGTTGGTCGCGATGCCTACAAGCTGTCTGTCGGTCAAGGCCTTGCCAAAATGTGGCGGGAGGAAGGCTGGAGAGGCTTCATGCGAGGCAATGGGACCAATTGCGTCCGCATCGTTCCGTACTCAGCTGTCCAGTTTGGCAGCTACAATTTTTATAAGAGGGTGAGTTCTTCCAAATTGTTTGTTATACATACATACCGCGCACACAGCCTTTGAGCATGTAAATGTGACTTTCAACTGACCGCAAGCAGAACTTCTTCGAGAAGCAACCTGGTGCAGACTTGTCCCCCCTTGCCCGCCTGACCTGCGGCGGCATTGCTGGAATTACCTCCGTTTTCTTCACCTACCCCCTCGACATTGTACGGACCCGCCTCTCCATCCAGTCTGCCTCTTTTGCCGAGCTGGGTGACCGACCCAAGGAGCTCCCTGGCATGTGGGCCACCATGGGGAAGATGTACAAGACGGAAGGTGGTTTTTCTGCGCTTTACCGTGGCATCATCCCGACGGTTGCAGGCGTCGCCCCCTACGTACGTATTCATGAGAGAGGCTGTTTTCGGTGGCTTCATTGCTAACAGTTCTTCAGGTTGGCCTCAATTTTATGGTCTACGAATGGGTTCGTAAATACCTGACTCCTGAGGGTGACAAGAACCCCAGCGCCGTCAGGAAACTGCTCGCCGGAGCGGTTTCGGGAGCTGTCGCTCAGACGTGTACTTACCCCTTGTAAGTTATTCCCGCTGGAGCGTTGTGCATCGGTCGCGGTGCTGACTTTATCACAGTGACGTTCTACGTCGTAGATTCCAAATCAACACCATGACGGGCATGGGCTACCAGTACAAGGGTATCTTCGATGCTATTAAGGTCATCATCGCCCACGAAGGCATCAAGGGCCTTTACAAGGGCATCGTGCCCAATCTCCTCAAGGTTGCGCCAAGCATGGCATCCAGCTGGCTCAGCTTTGAGCTCTCTCGCGATTATCTGGTGTCGCTGAGGCCGGATGGCAACTCGGAGGCCAACATCTGAAAAGGTGATGCCATGCACCACAACTTCACTTTAGCGACACGCCGCGGCCGCAAGATGCAGGCGGGCGGCTTACAAAAAGCCTCAGTACTGAGCATGGGGTGATTACAACTAGACAGTGGCTTGCGTAGTAGTCACGATGGGGCAGAGAGACTGCCGCCCGGGTTGCCTCATTCAACCCGGCATTTCATCCATCAGTGTTTTTATAATGTATTACAACAACAAGAAGAAGAAGACGAGCTTGAGTATGCAGAAGACGGGCAGGGAGTTGTCCAGTAACTGTCCCGGGCGTCACGGGGAGCTGGACCTCATGGCTGCTACCGTCATGGAAGGGCAAGTAAGCACCACCTTTGCTTTCGCACAAGCTAGACCGCAGGTCGTCTGAATACACCGGCATGAATTGAGATTCTTTCATGAGACACATGGTCCCTCCATCTGGCTTCGTGCTGTGGCATGTGAAAGAATACGGCAAGCAGATACCTAGGCAGGGGCAATTTAACGAGTGGTTGCCCTCACCTAACTCTACACCGGCACACCGAGGCCTGTCGGTCAGGAGCAAGCGTTGCAGGGTCCAGGCCCCGGTCGCTCCTGCAGGGCACTCAGCGTACGGTCCACTGAGGTGGGCACTTGAGGTGCACGGCCCCACTGCCACTCAAGCCGAGAGAGAAGAAAGGTGGAAAAAAAAAAGAGAGAGGAGACTGGATGCCTGACGGCCTGACGGTGCATTAGGGCAAATTTTCGCGCCCACAAGTTTGCTGCCACTCTTTCTGTCTGGCCCGGTTGCGAAATTTCCACAGTCTTCCCATCTACACGACGACGACAAACCACGGCCACCCATCGACTCAGATCGCCAATTCCGGGAGTCCAACGACAAGATGGGTACGTAGGAATTCCCATTCCAAAGCCTTTACATGCGAGTGGAATGTGCACGCAAAACCCTTCATTGGGATCTTTGCTGTTGCTATTCTGCGAACTAGGCGCGCGGAAAAGAAAAATCCTCTCCTGCCTGTTTTCCCACCCCAATGGCCGCCTGTCCCCTCGCCGAGTGCGAGCAGAGGATGAGGAGTCTTTGGGACTTGGGGAATCGGGATTGTGGATGACGGAATTCCCGCCTCATTCAGAGCATGCTTGAACCAAAAGGCTGACGATGGGCTCTTCACCCCGTTTATAGGTATTGATCTCGACCGCCACCACGTGCGCAGCACGCACCGCAAGGCTCCCAAGAGCGACAATGTCTACCTCAAGCTCTTGGTGAAGCTCTACCGCTTCCTGACCCGTGAGTTTCTCTCCCCCCCGCCTCGACCGTCGCCAACGATGTCAAGCATGAATTGCTGATCTTGGTTTCTTTCCAATCTCGCAGGCCGCACGGAGTCCAACTTCAACAAGGTTATCCTGCGCCGCCTCTTCATGTCGCGCATCAACCGCCCTCCCGTCTCCCTCTCCCGCGTTGCCGCCAACATCAAGAACGGCAACGAGAAGAAGACCGTCGTCATCGTTGGCACCGTCACCGACGACAACCGTCTCCTGACCGTCCCCAAGGTCACCATTGCGGCCCTCCGCTTCACCTCCACCGCCCGTGCCCGCATTGCTGCCGCCGGCGGTGAGGCCATCACCCTCGACCAGCTTGCCCTCCGCGCCCCCACCGGAAGCAACACCCTGCTCCTCCGCGGCCCCAAGAACTCCCGCGAGGCCGTCAAGCACTTCGGCTTCGGTCCCCACAAGCACAAGGTCCGCATCCAACCCCACCACCTGCCACAATACGTGAGTGCTAACAATCTTTGCAGAAGCCCTACGTCGAGTCCAAGGGTCGCAAGTTCGAGCGTGCCCGTGGTCGCAGACGCTCTCGCGGCTTCAAGGTCTAAACGGGTTGTGTGGTGCTATTGGTCTCTGGCGGGACCACTTTCATCATGCTCCTTTTCGGGGTTGGTCGTGCGATTTCTCGTCGCACTGGTGGACACGCTATCACGGCTATGGACTGCCGATGAGGGTCTCTCATCGTGCTTCACAGGGAACTTTCTGCATGGTACTGGCGTGGTTAGGAATCCAAAAAAGAATTGACGATCTACACACTTCGCATGGCGTCAAATGGCATCTCTTGGGCGGCCGTGGGGCTGGTTTTTCATCTTCATATCGTACAGTCCCTTCTGCTTGTGTGATCTCATTTGGTTTGGCATATGCTGTGTGTGTATGAACTTGTAAAATGTGTGCCTCCCTCCTACACTTGTGTAACGACCGTTCCGCCTTCACAAGCTATCATTGTCCCCTTGAAGTTTTACTTCACCTTTCCTCCTAAGAGCCACAAAGTACGCCTCTTTCGAATCCTGACATGCGTTAGCCTCGTCGCACAACCCAGTAGACACGTCCAACATACGCTACGAGACGACTCGGGCTTCTCGCGGAACACCTTCGCAAAAAGGGCCTTCAACTTCATCTCGAGCGCCTTGTCCTCGGAGCCCTGATAGAATTTGCAAACAAAGTGGCCGCCGTTCTTTAGCGTATCGTTGGCAAATTGGAGCGCGGCCATGCAAAGGTCCTGCAACACCTCGTCAGCCCCCATGAAATGTGAAGCCTGATCCCAGACGAACACGAACCATGCTACCGGCGTGATCTCGAAAGGCCATGCCGCTCGTGTTCATCATCCTATGATAGGGATTACTAAGACTGTTCACTCCAAACCCGGTGGTCTGGTCCCAAGGTGCTGACATGTCACTCAATACAATCTAGACCTCTCTGTCAGTCCTTGCAGAAGTCTTCTCTTGGTTGACGATTACTCACATCAACCAACCGACCATCCTTTGGCTTCGTTGTCTCAGCAACACACTCGGACTTGTCGGGCGTTTCTGAACCCGCCCTCTCCATGTCAATATAGCTCGGCTGGTCCTCGATAATGGCGGACTCGTCTGTGCCTATGCTCTCCTCTCCCTCGGATGAGGTCGTCGAGGCTGGTGGCCGGGCCGGACGGCCTTTCTTGTGCCGGATGAGGTAATCCTTCACCATCTCCTGGACATCAGGCGAGAGGAAGTTACCCTGGATCGTCGAGACACCCTTTGGTGGCTGGGCCGGGATGATGTCGATTCCCAAAACCTGTCCGTGGGGTTTCGTCCGGTCGGCGGCGACCTAGATACACAGCAACACATCTTTGCATATGCTCCCACGAGTTCATGAAATATGTGCATACCTGCGACCAGCTCCCGGGAGCATATCCCTGTGTCAAACTGTCATTTACGTGGTCTTGAGGGGTCTTTGCATGAGAGCAAGAGCAACATACCAGGTCCACTACTGTCTGTCCCCTGCGGAAAATTCTGTACTTTGAATCCATCTGGCAGACTCGTCAGCTCACCGGAGGAAATCTTCACGAAGACAAACCCAAAAATGTGCAAACCTCTAGAAGTTTAAACGCCGCCCTGCTTTTGAGACCCTGGACCTTGGCCTCGCGCGCGAAAATATCCTTGCCCTGCCTCATCTTCCATCTCGAGTTGGACGAAGATGCCCGCGTCTGACCGGCGCCAGCATTGAGTGTATTTCGGCACTCCGCACAAGCTGTAGAAAGCATGAGAAAAGACTGGCGTCTAGAAACTCTCATGAAAGCGCGGGCGGGTGATTTGGACATTGTTGTCATTGTGTGCCGCAGGCGGCAGACGTCATGAGCGTACTAGTTGTTTGGAAACGGCCGTCCTCTGTACCACTCCACATGCGTATGTCTCAGAGATTGGCACGTCAAGGATCACGTACCGCTTTCGATTGGATTGAAGGGACAAAAGCCGAGTATAAGGAGGTATTCCAACCAAAGCCTGTCGTTGTTGTGTAGCATGTTTACCTATTCAAGTGAAGCTTTCTGCATCCACCATTGACTCGACATGCTGATTGGCCCAAGCTTTAGTCGCACCCAAACAGGGGTAGCAAACAGCCTAGGTGAGCTTCACAGTGTTGTCACTACGTCTCAGTTTCAACAATTACACAACCACACGTAGACCCCAGAGGATGCACATCGGATGGAAAGCTTTGGGCGAGATTTGCAGCCCTCAAGACCTCTTCATTCAGGAAAATGCAACTTGATCTGAATACCATACCTACATAAACCCAACAATACCAACGCCAGTTCCCACCTAGAACGCCGCCCATGCAACCCGCATATGATACCTGCATGCTCGGATAAAGACACATCCATCGCCGGCCTTGTCTTACGCCAGGAAACTAGCACCAACACCTCTCCTATCTTTCTTGAGTGGAGAGAATGACCTCTTGCCAAATGCGCCTGCGTTACGCACCAAGGACAAGTGCGTCTTGCCAAGGGCCTTGCCGGCTCCTGGCGCAACTTTACCACCAGGTCGCTTGACATTCGCAGTCTCCGCCTCACCGTCGTCGTCGAAAAGAGTGGTTGAGTCGCCGGCGAGCTTGCGCTTCTTTCTCTTGACCTCTTGTTCGCGCCCACCCGTACTCGTCACCGTCGCCTTCTTCTCCGCTGCAGTGGTCTTCGCGGGAGGAACTGCATTCTCTTGTTCGCCGGCCTCGGGCTCCTCGAGAACCTTGTCAAGCAGAGAACCTGACTTGGCCACATCATTGCTCGCGGAGGGGGCCTGTACAGGCATGTTCGGGGATGCCTCAGCCAATGCCTTCTTGGGCCTGCCACGCGCCTTCTTGGGTTCTCCATTGCTTTTGGCTTTCGTCTTAGTCTTGGTTTCTTTGGGAGCGAGGGCGGGTTTTTCGGGCTCCGCTTCTGCCGAGTCTGCAGTTTCGGGCTCAGCCCCATCATCTTCTCCAGCACTTGCCTGGGCCTCCGCCTCAGCTTCAGCAGCGGCCTGTTGAGCCTGGTGTGCAAGAGGCACGTAGCTGACATCGGCTTCGTTTTCTTCCTCCTCGGCAACCGCGTCCTCAACGGTAAGAGTCTTGCTTTTGGCCAAGAAAGGAGTGATGGAGAATGTCGATTTTTCGCCCACAAGAGCTTGCTCCTTCTTCTTAAGTTGTCGCCTGCCTCGTGTGACATCCTCTGGCGTTCCAATGCTCATGTCGCTTATGCTGAGTTCTTCTACTCGACGCTTGCGAGCATTCTGCGCCTTGGCACCGCCAACCCGCGCGGCGGTATCTGCCTTCTTCGTAGGCACGGTACTTGTGTGGACGACTTCGGATCGCATCGACTTGAGTTCCTCCTGAGTAATCCGTAGCTTTGATCTCAGGGTGTCAAGACGCTGCTCCAGCATTTCGTTCTGTGCCTGAGCCTCCGACAGTGCCACCTCGTTCTCCTTACGAAGTCTCTCCTTCTCACGCCTTTCGGACAGAAGCATCTTCTCTGCCTCCTGAAGCTTCTTCTTAAGCTCCTGGTCCGCTTTCTTGTTGTCCTCGCCCGACTGCGCAGCGGCAGCGACAGAATCGAGTTCTTTTTGCAATTGTTCCTTTTCTCGCTTCTCGGCGGCCAACTTCTTCTCGGTGTCCTTTAGCTTGCGACTCAGCTCGTCCTCGGTTGTCTTGTTGCCCTCCGCTTGGGCTGCTTGTTGTTCCCGTACGCGTTTCTCGTTGGCCAATTGCACCTCGACCATGTTGAGTTCCCGTTCCAACGCCAACTTCTCCGCGATGGCTGTTTGCTGGTGAGCCACTTGTGACCGCAAATGCTCCAATTCGGGCCTTAAAGCGTTGAGCTCTCGAGAAAGAGCAAGCTTCTCGGAAAGAACCTTGGTTGACTCTTGGGACAAACTGTTGAGTGACTCAAGTTCGGCCTGTCTTCATCAGCTATGGCGTTTCTTACTGATGGGCGGGCTCGCGACAGGGACCAACCTTGATATTGGCGAATTCTCGTGTTTGTGACTTTATTTGGGTCTGTTGATCGTGACTAGTGGCCTTCAAGGAGTCCAGCTCGGAGCGCGTCTCGTCGCATTTGTCGGTCAATTGGTTGATCTGAGCATCTTTCTCGGCGAGCTGCTCGCGTAATGTCGAGTTTTCTGCGAGAAGCACCTGCTTTGTAACCTTTTGTCTACGCGCGTCTTCCTCCTTGGCGATCAGTTGGGCCTGGTGGATGTGTTTCTCGTGCTTCATCTCAAGCTCGTGGGCGGCCGCCATCCTCTGCGAACGACGGTCAGGATGGAGTGAACTTTGAACGTGTGCGCTTTCCGCGTGTCGCAGGTAGCTTACCTCCTCCGAGTCCATATTTCTCGTCTTGCACGGCATTTTGCAGGACTTGTTTTTGCTTCAGCGCGTGAGCGCGTCGCCAGGTCGGAATCCGTATAATCTCTGAAGTAGAAATAGGGCGCGATCAGTCCTCGACGTTGATGTCTCAGGGCTGATATCTGAAGTGTAAAGCAGTAGTAGGGGTGCCCGCACTTGTTTCTGATGAGATTCGCAATGTCGATGTTGAATTGGCGATGATGATGCGGTGTGTTTGGGGGGTGCCTTTCGATGTGGACGCTGAAGAGGTAAACATGATGCCGAAAAGGGTTAGCTTCGCCCTCATGGGATGACCCCACTCTAAGCAGGTCACAGGTGTGTTGTCCCACTGTGCCAGTAGTGTAGGTAAGGTAGCCAGCCGCCAGCCTGGTCGATCTGAGTCCGTGCTTGTTGCGACTACACACAGTGAAAAGCCCCGACGTCACTGAGTCTTAGGTAAGGTTATCTGCCTTAGCTACTTAGGTATCGGGCTGACAAAGACTCTCGACGGAGCGGCAAATACTTTCCCCGGTCATCCTACCGCCAGTAGAGCCGGGCCCCAGTTCCCAGGTCCAGGGGTTGCTCTGTAGCGCGTACGTACAGAGTTCCTATCCGTACCTGCCCGGCAAAGCACTGGTAGGTTGACCCACACCACTGTGGGCTGGCGACGCTGATGAGAGCTGTCCAGTTCAAGCTGCATCAGCTTGCCGCATCTCAACGACACTCGCGGCGCACCCACTCGCTACGTACGCCGATTCAACTGCACCACCTAGGCCAATTGGCCACGAAACAAACACAACTTTCCCGCGCGAGCGTTCACGAAATTGACGATAGCTTCTGGGCCCGCAACGAAACTCACCATGCGCTTCCTCCAGTCCCTCTTGGCCGCGACCTCGTTCCTGGCGGCCGGTTCTCTCGCTGCTAAGAAGACCACCGAGGAGCGCTTCAACGAATTCCACACCAAGGCCCTCTCCTCCTCCCCAATCAAGCTCGCCGACACCAGCTACAAGTCCTTGACCGCCACCCCCCGCGACTACACCGTTGCCGTCCTCCTGACGGCTCTCGAGTCTCGCTTTGGCTGCCAGCTTTGCAGAGAGTTCCAGCCGGAATGGGATCTTCTCGGCAAGTCCTGGACCAAGGGCGATAAGAAGGGCGAGTCCCGCTTGATTTTCGGCACTCTGGACTTCTCTGACGGTCGTGAGGTCTTCATGTCGGTAAGTTCTCACCTTACTACCGCCCCATTGTCCGAGACAAGACATGGACTAACACGACGACCAGCTCGGCCTCCAAACCGCTCCCGTCCTCCTCCTGTTCCAGCCCACCGTCGGCCCTCACGCTGTCCCTGCCCAGGAGCCTTTGCAATACGATTTCACCAGCGGGTTGGTTTGAATAATCCTTGTCACTGAAGAAATAAACTGACACACAACGTAGACCTCAGTCTGCCGATCAAGTCCACGCATGGCTCTCGCGACACCTGGCTGACCGGCCTCACCCTCCGGTCAAGCGTCCTATCAACTGGATGCGCTGGATTTCTTCAATCACCATCATTCTTGGTCTGGGCACGGTTGTCGTCACTGCCTCGCCTTACATTTTGCCCATCATCCAGAACCGCAATCTCTGGGCCGCCGTCAGCCTCATTGCAATCCTTCTCTTCACCAGCGGACACATGTTCAACCACATTCGCAAGGTTCCCTATGTTGCCGGAGATGGCCGCGGCGGTATCAGCTACTTTGCCGGTGGTTTCCAGAACCAGTTTGGCCTGGAGACCCAGATCGTGGCTGCCATTTGTAAGCTTCGCAACTGTCTCCAAACTTGTGCATCGCAGCTGACAGTTACTAGATGGTGTCTTGGCTTTCTGTGCCATCTCTCTTACCGTCAAGGTTCCTCGTATTGGCGACTCAAAGACGCAGCAGGTTGCTGTGCTGGCTTGGGGCGGTGTTTTGTTCCTCATGTACAGCTTCCTCCTCAGCGTCTTCCGCATCAAGAACGGCGGCTACCCCTTCTCTCTTCCTCCTTTCATGTAAGGAGGAACTTGTTAAGCCGAACGCATTGGAGGTATACTTCCAAGCAACACCGCCACAAAATGGGCCGTTTCTACATCGTTGCTCGGCACGCTTTATTGCTGCAGCCAAACGACCCAATGTCCTCGTTGACAGGAGTGTAAAATAAAGATATAGAAAGTGGTCACAGACGACGAAATGGCCACTACAATGACAATGTACAAGTTGGACTTCGGAAATCTACGACAGGATCTCCTGGGGTGATCATTGGCGGAAGACTTGGCATGCTCAAGTCGAGTGTTCGGGACTGGTCCAAATTTCTGCTGCACTGTGGTTGGGATGACACGACGCAGTCTACCTTGCCATTCTACCTCGACATGGTCTTGCTGTAAGGACGAATACTAAGCCCACTCCAGATATCATCGACTGACATGTTGCCGTGGTCAGCCCGCGTTGCCATCCGCGTCTTTGCCAT